TACGATATGCCTAAAAGTCTGCTGAGGCTAAAAGAATTACTGAATTGAGCTACTTTCAGTCCTCTTATAATTTTGTTTTCAGTTAGTTTTTAATTTAATTTTTTCTAGTTTTGTTCTATATTATTCATCTTCTTTCTTGCTTGTTTTATTTTTCCTCCCTTTATATCATATTTGCTTAATCCATTAGTAGATTGCAAATTTATTCTAACAGAAATATAAGAAATATATATATATATATATATATATATATATATATATATATATATATATATATATATATATATATATATATATCAAATAAATGTTATGTTTTGATATTAGTTTCAAAATATATGATTCTTAATATGAATCTCAAAATATGGTGCAACACACAACTTTCACTTACCGCTCTTTGAATAGAAATTATTTTCTGGTAATGCTGGACTACTATAAAGTTTTTAGAAGTGCATTTTAAAAAGAGCAAAAGCTTAAAGCTTACAAGTCATTAAGACCATTATAATTACAAAAAGTCTATTTAATATATCGACGACAGTCAATAAAAATCTAGTCACTCCATCTGCTTTTATAAGCCACACAACTTTCTTTCCTTTTATAAACCACAGAATGACTAACTCCAATTTCAACATTTTTGAGTAATGTCAATTTAGTGATATTTTTAGTTGAAAAAGTTATCAATGCAGACAGTGAGTAAGATGATTCCGGAGGTGGTGATTGCAGTGTAAGGTATAAATTTAGGTACTTATTTCTTATGAAAGATGTTCTGAGGTAAGATACTTTATTAAATAACTGTAGAAAAAAAGTTTTTTTAGTCTCAACAATTAAAAAAGTATATTTTAAATTTATACATATGTTCGCTTCTTCAGGAGAAAAATCTAGAGACTATATCTTTCCTCCTAATTGTCCGATTTTAACGCATTTTTTTTTTTTTTTTTTTGTCTTTTTAGGAAATTCCATAAACTTTCAAAAAAACATACAATATCCACAAAAAGTGTATACTTTTTGAGTTATTCGGAATTTAATCTTACCATCCCTCGTAACTTTTTTTCCAGCTTCTATTCGTTGAAGTATGCTATATAAATAAATTTAAAGGTTGTCTAGAAAATGACTTAAGCGAAGTTTCATTGAAATAAGTACATTCATTTAGGCGCTACAGTCTATAGCAACGCAGGTTTTTCTGCATTTTTATTGTTTTTCTCCTTTATTAACTTATCAAATTCTTTCAAAAGTTATATGTATCATTTTTTTGTAACTCTGAATAATGCGAAATGATTAACTTTTTAAAATAAACCATATTAAAGGTACTTTAGTGGAAGACATATATCAACATTGGGCATTTAAGCCCTGTAAAGTGACATAAACGGGGATACGACCACTTAATTATACAATGATACACCGAGTTTAATCAAAATCATTAGAGCCGACGGTACTTAAACGGGGATACGACCACTTAATTATACAATGGTACACCGAGTTTAATCAAAATCGTTAAAGCCATTTTTGAGAAAATTGTAAAAATGTTTTTCAGTGTTTATATAAAGTGGCACTTCCGGTTAGCTGATTTTATCGAAAAAGTTACTGTCACATCCGGCTCATATACAAATCTAAAATACTTAATATCAATTTCATACTACTTTTCGTTTATGAGCTAGACTGTTAACACACACACACACACACACGCACGCACGCACGCACGCACACACACACACACACACACACACACAAACACACACACACACACACACACACACACACACACACATACATACACAGACCATTTTGCGACACTTGGTTATTTGGACTCAGGGCACTTCATTTTATATACATTTACTTTATACTATTATTTTGCTGATTATTTATTTTTATTTAGTACATCGTCTGAATGAACTACTCTTCTATCACTATTACTATTGTCCTTATATCTGACAGATGGTAATTGATAATATACCTAAAACAATACCATCATGAAATACCAGAGTTTTCTAGCCTTTTTATAACAACCAAGGGTTACCCATCTTAAAGCAAGCCAAGACATAAATTACATAAAATATTAATAATTATTATTTAAATAAGTAAATTCGTGTATTGGCATAATAATTTTATGACTTTAAAAAAACATGTAGTATAGATTCGTTTATCCCAGATAGATAAATGTTTTCTTTAAACAAAACAATTCATAAAAATATAGCTGCAGGATATGTACCACAAGAAGATGGGTTTAACTTATTGGTGTACACGAGCAAACCAACTATTTGCTCAATTTATCGGTCGAACGGGACAAACACAGAAATGTGTTGCAAGTATTAGATGGTTCTTTCAATAAACTTCGACTCATATTTGCTGTTCGGAGATCAATATTGACGCTTATATCATTATATAGATTGTTATTTGCTTATATATATATATATATATATATATATATATATATATATATATATATATATATATATATATACACAATTAATTTCTATAGATAGATATATAAGTCCCGCTATATTATTTCGAAATTGAATTATCTAACCTAAAACAATTTCCCCTTACATAACAAATTTAATGGATAATAGACATGTGTCTCTTAAAAATAAAAATAGTCTGATTTATTTCCAATAGATTGTTCCATGCATATTTTAATCTATCATTATATATAATACGGTAGTTTTTCTTAGTGTAGATTCCTTTTTCTGGCTCTTAGGAGCAATACATTTTGATTAATCAGGTTTATAGCGCCTCTCCTCAGCCTCTACTGGTTCTTAATACCAGTAATGTTGCTCAGTGCGAGGCGCTGGGATCTCCGAGCGTCCTGCCTTTCCTTCCACAAGTGGTGAGAAAGGCTTGGCTCGGAGTTCTTCTGAGTGAATGGATTCTGTAAATATTGTATAATATGTATGTGTTTTAGTTGTTATTTTTTTTTTTTTTTTTTTTTAAATTTCTTTATTGAGTATTATAACAATCTGTCTGTTGGACAGTTGTTATTTTGATTAGTTTAGATCTTTTGTTTATATACATTCACTTTTATTATTATTAGTTTCGGTATTATTTATTTTTATTTATTGTATATAGAGTGTGAATGTGCTCTCTGAACAATATTATAAATGTCCTTAATTGTGACAGATTGCAATATTTCTGAACAAATAAAAAGTTCAATTCCCAAGATTAATAAGGTATCAACCCAAAGGGTATTATACCATGGAAAGGTAACGAATCATAATCACTTCCCCCGAAATTTTAGGAAAAAAAGTTATGAGTGAAAGAAAACTTTACTTAAGAATAACTCCAAAAGTATACATTTTTTCCTGATTGTACCAATGATGATTTGAAAGAATACTAAAATCCTTACAAACAAAAAAAAATCGTCACAATCGGTTGAAAATTTGTGCTGAACGAAGCGAAAACGATTCAAATATTTTTTTGAAGAGAAACAGAGTTGAGATTCGTATTTCGCACATCGAAAAATCTTCAAATACGAATTTTTATAAAAAATTAATTTTTTTTTTTTTTCATGAAATTGCCTGTAACTCTTAGAATATATATATATTTATATATATATATAATATTATGATTATTGGAAATATTATTAAATTCCCAACAAAACTAAAAAAAAAAATTCTCAAAACCAGACTATTATTAGCAAAAATACAGCCAATAATAATGTGCCGTATTTTAATTTCTTATTGTGAAAGAACTAATGTTACTCGACTAACAAAAAGGAAATTATTTTATATTTCTCATAATACGTTGCGCTAACTTATGTCTATTATAATAAGGTGTATAAAGAAATGACGGGTTTATCAAATCAAAGGACTATAAATAATATAATCCTATTTAATACTTACCAATACTTAATAATCTATGCTTATTTAATCCCATTCGACTTCTTCAAAAATAGCCTCCGTTCAGTTATTTCTTTCAAAGAAGAAACATGACAGTGTCCTACAAAATTCACGTATTTTTAAGGCAGTACTGAAAAACAATTTCACAGCTTCTGAAGCAACTCATGAAATTATTAAATATGAAGGGGAAGGTGTCCTTGACCAGTGCACTGCGCGGCGTTAGTATCAGAGCGGGATCGAGCAATTGGCTAATGTCGGTAGATAACAACGGACTAAGCTTTAAGTATCAATTGTAGTTTATAACAAATAAATAATAACACCAATATTTGGTGAAAACCGTAATTTTTTTTTTATACACTCTATTACATTGTCAATTATTCACTGACCAGGACTATTATCAGCACGAACCAGGTACTACTATAATATGTTTATACTAGAATCATGATTATAAATGGCAGCAGTCAAAGAACGCATGATATGAGTAATTTATTACAAGGAAACACTAATTCAATATAGTATGTCCATAAACATTTTGTTCTAGTTGCACTTATAATTACAAAAAATCGGTAAAAAGTATTAACATTTATAATTAAAAGGATTTTAATGAGCAGTTAAAAAAAACGAATTAAATTGCTTGAAAAAAATACATTAAACAAAAATAAGGAATATAATCAAAATTAAATTAAGTTAAAAACTCAAACTGACGTTTCGGTTTCATGAGTCATTTTCAAGTACAAACTATGATGTATTTTTGTTACATTTGTTTAATTAAAAAATAATCAATCGCTCTTTGAATGCATGTTCAATTTTCTGTTTGAGGCGAATTTCATTGAATTTGCGGGTTTGTTGAATCCTTGTGTCTGATTAATTTGGTTCTTCATGGGGGAAAAAATCAAACAATATCAAAAGTTAAGTATTTTTTTTTAAAAAGACTCTCACTTTGATGTAATCATCAGAAAAGCGGCTTTCGTTGTAATTTTTAACTACAAATTTTTTTAAATTTCTAGTCAAATCATAATGTGGATACTATAATACATTGAAATAAAATTAACGGATAAAATATCAATATATTTTTTTATTTAAAAAAATATCGTTATTTTTCCAACATCCCTAATTTAGATATAATATTGTTACAGCAAAGTGGGGACCTTCAGGTCAGGAGTAAGGACACTGATGCGGCTCGGCAAGGGGAGGAGGAACAAGAGGAGATCCGAAGACAGGGAGGACGATGATTGCAGGGAGGTGGACGAGCGACCCCTCCTCCAACACCAGAGGACATCCTCCATGTCTTCAGTGTCCTCCAACGACTCAGTGTCCTCCCAGACCAAGCTACTCCCACCCAAGAGGTAAGTCTGTCAGTTTCCTCTCCTCAGTGTCTATTGTGTTTAAGTTACATTAGAAAACCTCAGTGAGAACTACCACATTGGATAGCTATCCATCTCCCTAATACAGCTGATATTTAAACGACATCAGCCAAATATATTTATTCATATATAAAATATAATATTGTTAAGGTAGTCTATTCAATACACAAAATTTAAACTAACTTTTTACTTAATAAGTAATTAGTTTGTTCTATTGGAAATATTCCTCCAGTTTGTTAATTAGCCATAACACACAGTATAGTATGTATGTATACAGTACGTATTTATTGGTAGATATTTAGCTGTCGTCAGTCGATATGTAAAGTTTTGTTACTCGCCAGGGAGCTGCTTTTATTATTCTTAAAATTTAGGATTGGAAAGATTGTAGTTTTTGTAAAAAATCTTTGAGGTGTATGTCCATATGGGTTTAAGTAGGTATGTATATGTATTTAAATGTTATCTGATTTTCAATTTTGATTAGGAAAAATATGAGTATAATATTTTCAGTGACTTGTTTTATCCTTCAGTTGAATATTAGTTCAAGGTAACACACATTGACTGAAGAATTTGGTTGTCGCAAATATTAACTGGTCGGCACGTGTCTCACCTAAGTGTAAATGTTATAGGTTGTGAATTTTTATGGTTTAATCTAATGTTCTAAAGTGTGTACCGATTTTTTAAATTTAATAAGTGATTTTGTTAATTCAGTGAGGCTAGTCTGGGGTTATGGTGTTTTATTAAAATTTCTGTACCGCCAATGTAGGTAGCAGTCAAGCAGGTAGGTCAGCATGTTTTAAAATGTAGGGTAAGTCATGCGTAGTGTTGTCCGAATGCGAGACCAAGACGAGTCTTGGTCTTGCCAACTCAGTCTTGGGCTTGGTCTTGGTCTTGCGCAAGAGTCACGCTACATTCTTGCAGTTATTTATTAGCTTATTACTATAGAGATATTAATGTAATTTTTTAAATAGAAGAAACCTAACTAAGCCCGAATGAAAAAGTAAAAGAGTTAAATGCAAAAGTATATTGTTTATACCAATTCTTTACGTATATTAACTAAAATTGTCAAGTATTAGTAATTATTTTGCCTCATTTTTATTCGAAAAATCGATTATTTTTATAACAGCCTTGGTATTGCAACAGTTGATATCCTTATCTTTTAGAATTGATATGAAGTCTGTGAGACAGCGACCATTTCCTGAAAGCTGTTATTGTTCCCTAAGTTTTGATAATAGGTCTTGTTTCCAGTCGGTAAATTCTAGATAACTATTTCTAAGCTATCAGAGATAGCTTGACCGGGCTATCTAGGGCTTTATGCTTTTATGCTTTGATAAAAGTCATGAGAAAGGTCAATTGCATGATTCACCAATTGGTATATTAAATAAAATAAAAGTTAAATTAATATTATTATTTGTTACGGATTAAGTCCAATCCGTAACCCGTCGAAATTTCGGTTCGTCACTTTCCACGAAATTTCTTTTCGCTTTTAAATCTATCGCTGTTGAGGACTGATGAAGCGATCTAAGCTACCGCATTATACATAGTATTTTGATTATCATTGAACTTAATAATTAAAACCTCATTTTGAATACAGTTTTTTCAGTATTTCAGATGAAAAAGTCAATTTCTCAAAGCCATGAAGACTTACATTTCCATACTTACATTGCAATTAAATTGAGTGCTAGTTTACTTAATTGGGTAAATTGACAGATTAACAGCACACTGGTATTATAAAGTTCAATAGAACCTAAAATCATTTTTACGTTAACTTACGATTTTAAATAGTATAGGATAGTATCGGATTAGTAATATAGTAATATTGTACCTATCCTTCCATAATAAACTTCATAACCATCCGAATCCTCTTGTTTCTAACCTTGCTTCCTCTTCGATTCCTGATAACCCTCCGAGGCGTCTGAAAAGAAAATGGCCTCGTGATCTTCTCATGTAGACAAATTATTAGAGTGCTACCAGTGGGTAGTTTCTCAACAAACGTGTTTCATGTAATAATATTTCTCTGTACAAATTTACTTGATGTATTCATACTAATACAGTTGTAAATATCATAATAAAAGTTTAAAAAAAAAAAGTAATATTGTAGACTATATTTAAATTTAAGGTAAATTAGGGTCAATGATATTCCACTGCAGGATTTATCAAATTTATAATATATTTTAATCGATTGAATGCTTTCATAATAATGAATATCTATTAAAGTTCACTTAAGAACTCTTAATAATGTTTTACCGTAATTTTCTTCTTGCGTGTAACAGAAATTGCCAGTAGGTGGATCGATCATACAAATTAAGTATATGACAGAGTTTGTAATACTAGCCTAAGAACACTCCCGTGGTAAATCATGCCTCAGCAAACGATTTTCAAAGCAGTAACAAGAAAATAATGCATAGTTTATACAAATATGAACCAATCAAAGTTAGTTTGCATACAATAATACGAACTTGGCCGCATTTAAACCTTTTTTGAGATCAGGTGTAATATCTTATTTTATAAATAGTCGAATTAGTGGTTTATGAGTTTATTTTAATCTTATCAATGGCCATGTATAGTGAACAATATTGCTTCTATATTCTACTTAATTTCATAATATTTTTAAATAAAATGAAAATATTATTAGATATATTTAATATAAGATAATTCACATTTTAAATTTAATATATATATATATATAGTCCGTTTATTGCAAAACGTCATTAAATGACTTTTCATTGCTATTTACAATAAAACACTTAATAAATTTGAATTACATTGCAAACGGTATCATTAGGTTTTTCATAACAGCATGTGTATTATAAATTAATTTGAAATTAATTAATTAACTCTAAAGGTGGTGATTGCAAGAACCTAAACAATCTTTACATCTCCCCTCCCGCAGAAGGTTAAATTACAGCTTAAAACCCTCATATAAACAACTCCTAAGATTCCGTGATTGTATTCCTCCAAAAACCAGACAGCTCCTTGTAATCTCTCATGTATTAACCCTCTTCGACTACGACTGTTTAGTGTATGGAGGGCTATCTGCCAGGCTATAAATGGGACTGAAGAGACTCATGAATTGTTTCATAAGATACATTTTCGAGATCTCTAGGCGTTCACATGTTTCACTCTGGTACACCGAGTTGAAGTGGCTTTATTTATGGCTTCCCGACGACAATTCCTCCTTGGTGTCTTCCTTTTCCAAGTCTTCAGAACCAAAAACCCTCCCTACATCCTGGAACTCCTTACTCTACGTTCGTCTATCCATCTCTCAAAACTAGGTCTCAACCTATAGACTTATATATCCCCTCCCATAAAACTTCCTCCTTCAGCAAATCCATCGTCATTCGTGCTGCTGGAACTCACTTCCTACATCCATGCGTCAATCCTCGTCCACAAATTCCTTCAAACAATTCCTGTTCCACCACCTACTCCACTTCAAACTTCCGCTAACATGTAAAATTACTTACATCTGTACACTCTTTAATTTCAATCTATTTCATAATTGAGATAACAATTAACTGTAAATTAGTTTGTATTTTTTAATATTATGTCAGAATAAGACCCATAGATTTGAACTCTGTTTCAGGTTCTTCCAATCACCACCTTTAAACTTAATCAGTTGATTTCAAGTTAATTTATTGATCACAGGGTGTTATGAAATCACCTAATGATACTGTTTGCAATTTAATTCTAATTTATTTAATATTTTATTGTTAGTACCAATATAAATGCAATAAAAACAGCTTAATAATCTGTTTTTGTGCTAGATTTTAATAGACTATAAACTTCTCCGGAAACAAAACAAAATCGGTACTAATATATTGGTACTAACAATAAAACACATAATTGCAAACAGTATCATTAGGTTTTTTATAACATCATGTGTTTAGTAAATTAATTTGAAGTTAACTGATTGACTTAAATGTCTATGTTTGTTCTTTATTTTACTATGCATTTTATACTTGTTTGTAAATAAAATTTTGTAGATTCTAAAACACCATATCCTCCCCTAAAAATAAATAAAAAAAATGTATATAAACCGTCATTATTTTCGAATATATTCAATAGTAATATATCACCTCACCATATGGGTGTGAACAATTACGAATATTGATTTCGGAATTTATGTTAACTTGTACGAATGAAAAAAAGATAATTAGAACCATTGGCTTGAACAATCGTTCATATTATTTTTTTTTTATCTTTCTTGGGCATATCAGGCGTTTACTAACAGTCATCTCTTATTTATTTATACATTTTATATTAGTAATGAATTATTAATTAAATAAAGATGGTTTAGAAAAATGATTAACTATGTTGCTGATACGGAGCACGCCAGTTAGCAAATTCACGGAACTACGTTCCTAGTCTTCTTCTTTAGATTCTTGCCATCATTGTTGGTTACTTTCAGGCCTCTGGCTTCTTTTATCCAGTTGCCTTCCAGAAGAGAGTCCTCTATTCCCAAGATTAAAGTGGGCTGATGAGGGCACTGCAATTTTCCACCCGTATATAAAATGTTTGTTGTGAAGACTTTAAGTCTGGTTTTCATTTGGGCTTAGTGTCTCCAACGCAGTAATTTTTGTTTTTCATTATTTGCATTATGTCGGTACATAACATTCATACATACGAAAGGTAATCTCTCTATTATGGCATGAAAACAAAGAAAAATGTGGTTTCTTAGTTGATTACAAAGGTTCATTAAAAATAATAAACCAAATATATTTAAAATCAGCGATATCTTTACTAATAATACTCGATATAAAATAATAAGATTTCGATTTATCTTGGAATAATTATTCTAAAACTGAATATATACCTAACTATTATTTTGCTAAATTTAGGCAGCTTCTTTACTTAGGCACAGTCTTGGGGTATATTAGACTTCTAAAACTCCGTTAATCACGCTCTATGGAAGCGGTTCTCAAACTTTTTGGCGCGGCACCCTTGTTGGACTAAAATAATTTTGTGGCTACCTCGACAGACTAAAAACAAAATTGTAGCATAGTTATCAGTAAAGCGGTGATATAATAAAATACTTACTCACTTTTGGTGCAATACACATAACCAATTACAATACCTAGATATTGCCTAGATATACCTTAAATTCGATTGATTTAATTTGAATTTTGTAATTAATTAATTTAAATTAATATATGTCCCTTTTAGTTACCCACGGCACCTGAATTTCAAACCACAGACTTATCACTACATACCAAACATCACACAATAACTATTGCTTCAGTATATTGTTCTCCGAGGTACGTATTAACATCTTCGATGTTTTGCGATTATTTTCGAAGACTTGGGCGTTGCTAGGAGCTATCAAGTGCAGAATCAGAAGCTACTTCCGCGCATCAGCAGAAGGCCGCACACCAACAACATCTTGTTCAGCAGCAGCAGTGAGCTCAAAAACAGTCGGAAAGGAACTCACGTCTACAAAATACGCTCTCAGAATCAGTACCACAAAATATTCAGCCGTCGAAAGACATGAAGACCCAGCCACGTTTAGCCGATAACTTTATCTCTCCACAATTTTTCCAGCTTTTGAATGGTATGAATACTCTCATTCAGCCCCTTTTTAGCATCCTTCAACAGCTCGCACAGATAACTCAAGGCATGTGTCTTCCTAATGGCCATTAACCATCTTACTTTAGGCACCTTGTCCATCCTTCTTTTGAATGCAAACGGACTCATGCAACATAGGACAGAATTGTACATATATTAACACGAAAAACGCATTGACATCGCATTGCTAACAGAAACACACTTTACACCACGATCTGACAACACCGCTCATGGCGGAACAGATATTCTAATAAAGTTATCACTATTACATAATCCCTTGTACTTACCCACGACACCTGACATTCAAACCACAGGCTTATCACTACATACCAAACATCACACAATAACTATTGCTTTAGTAAACTGCCCTCAGTAAGCACATTGTAGATTTGGTCTCAAATGTCCGATTTAAAACGTTTTGGGTTCGATTCCTAGCTGGATCTGTTACTATTTATTTCTCAGTGACCCCGGGAAATAAATCTTGACACCTAATCATTTTTTTTTTCTATCCACCTCTACCTCGCCTTTAAGTCCGATAGGAGAGGGCAGATGTTTAATGACAGAGCCAAAAGCTCTCCTGCATCGGCACCGGTCAACGAGGGTTTTACACACGCATTAGCTCGCTCGGCCACCACGCCTCCATCATACTCCTGCTCAAGTAAGTAAGTGGTGTTAACTTCAAAGTAGCCGTCAGGGGTTGGCAAAAAGAGCCACAAGGCCCATATGCAGGAGTAATTACCCGTACCAATATCAGTACCAGTGTATAATGTCCAAGCTCTTTTTTTTTCTTGATTTTCCTGATCCTATTCCTTAAATCCGCTTGATATTAAGACAGTCGATGTTGGTTGCAGGCAACTGAAGCAGGACGCAGCTCGGACGGGATGGGAGAGCGCCCTGAGGTCGCAGGACTTCCAGGTCTGCGTGACCATCATCGAGGCCAGGCAGCTGGCTGGGCTCAACATGGACCCGGTCGTCTGCGTCCAAGTCGGCGATATCAAGAAGTACACCAGCGTCAAGGAATCCACCAACTGCCCCTACTACAACGAGGTCAGTTCTCGAAAACGTATTTAGAAAAATACGCATGGCAATTAATGAGTCTAAGTTATACTATTTAATTATTATATATGTTTTATTATACATTATTTATGATATTATGAAAGATATTGGTTGTATAATGAATTAATGTACAAATAAATAAACGTCTGAGGGATAGATGGAAATACTAGCGGATCCAAGATTAAATTTTGGGGGGCTTCAGCCCGAGAGCTTTTTTTTTCATATATATAACGATAATTAATTTGAAAAAAAAAGAAAGAAACTAACTACCTATATGACATAGTGTTTAAGTGACTCTTGAAGTCCTAGTAAATGTAATTACATGAACAATAATACTTTAAGAGATAGTATTTAATATTTTTTCTATAAAAAATGCTCATATTTTACTATTTTGGGAGGGGAGAGGGGCTTCAGTCCGAAAGCCACCTCCCCCCACTCCTCCGTAAATCCGTTTGTGGATGGAAACATTATGATGTCCAATGGAGCTGAAGTTGTGGATTATCAGTGACGCGGCTGGAAGAGAGGCAACTCCTTGAGTCATGTTTTGCCTTCCACATGTGGAAGACAGAGCTTGGCTCGAAGTTTCCTGAGCAAATGTAAATATTATGTAAATATGTAAATATAGGTACAAATGTGTTTAAGATGATTTATTTAATTTTTCTTATTAGTTTTCAATTATTATAGTAATTTCAATATTTTTGTATATATTGTATGAATGAACACTTTTAGCATAAATACTTATTCCTCTCCTTGTATTATTGTATAGATTGCATTATTATTCAATAAAAAAATAAAACTTGTAGATTCCTGTCAGTGAGAGGAGTTTAGTTGCATACCTACAGAACAGCTAAAGTTTGCTTTATCTGCATTGAAACTCAGGATTCGCTAAGCCATATTACTCTTATTTTTGATTGTTGTAAAAAGTACAATAAAATATAATGTAGTACATTTAGGAAATTAGGGAAATAACAGTAAATATTTTTAAAGGTTCGTTTATTTAGATTTACTAAACATTTGAAAAACAGCTTAATATTATTTAAGATCCATTTATACCGTACTAAATTGTAAAAATTTGTTGGTAAAATTCCATGAACATTTCCATCTTCTTTTTGCAAGATTATCTTCAATCAATTAGAAATGAGGATTAGAAAAAATCCTACATATTCGTCTATCGGCCTTCTCACATTATTTTAAACACAATTTATTTCTTTAACTACTTCATAAGGATGAAAAATATTGACAGCATTGGCAGTAAAAATTTTTCTTTTGCGTTTTTATCTAAACCTGCGAGTGATTATCACGGCTAAAAATGAAAAATAAAAAAACATTAGAAAAATAACAAATAGGAGTAACATTAAAAATAAGAAGAATAACTGTAAAAAGATAATAGTAATCAGAATAAATAAATAAGATAATATTAATAAGAGTAAAAAATAAAATCAGAAAAAGTATGTATATAGAAGTATAAGTTTTACGATTTATCTAATTTTATTCTCTACGCCTACTTAAATTACAGGTTGGTTCAAACTATGGAAAAATCGACTTAATCAAGAAAAATCCAAACATATAACATTATAACATTATCTCAGAAAAAACACCTGTCCTCCAGTTTATATTGACAATAATCAAATTCCTAAAACGGACGCGGTACTTTACCTTGGACTCACCTTCGACAGAAGGATGACATGTAGCCCGCATGTAAAAATGAAACGTAACTAAAAATATATCCGTATTTTCAGCAGAGTTAACAAAATGTTTACAGGCAAAAATAAATGTTTTTTATACCTTCCCAAAAAATCTCTACTCTTATTAAGGTTATCTTATTTATTTATTCTTATTACTATTATATTTTTTCTGTAATTTTTCACTCTTATTACTCTTACACTTTTACATTTGTTACTGTTGTTCCTTTATATTATTTTCATTTTTATTCCTGATTTTTGACTGCTGACAATTTTCTCATCCTTAATATTATTTTTTCACTTCATTTCATTTACATCAATCAATTTTTATTGTATTTTTTTTCTTAGTATCTCATTTATAGCAATGGGACAACAACAAAAATCTTGTCTTTAGTTATAACGTGATTACAGAGCTGACTTTGATCTGATATACCTCCCGATCGCGAACGGGATGGAACTCATCCCATTTTATAAATATGGGATGAAGGTCCCATAACTGCTAGATCAAAAGCTAGGAGGGTCCATGTCTACCTGAGTCAATCTCAATTTATTCATGACTACTCGTGCAGGGCCCCGTGGTTAGGGGAGGGTACCTATTGTGGCTAGGCAGCCGCTAGTAATCATAGCCCAGTCTGGAAGCGAAACCCACCAAATTGCGACTCTATATTTCCGCTCCTTTGTCAGTTTAATTTAATATAGAATATCTCTAGTATATGAGTGATAGTTTAACAATTTAATAGTACTAACTCTTAAATGGTTAAACTCAACATCATATATTGCGTTTATTTTTCCCTAATATTGTCATGCATAACGATTTCAATAGTAAGCCGAAAATTCCATCCCAATAACAGGATCTGTGTAGAAAGAAAACCATTCCCGAGAGTAGAAAATTCAAATACCTCGGCTCCACAATAACTTCAATGAATGACCAACCGGCAGAAATCGGCCCAACATATAACTAGCGCAAACAGAGCTTTCTTCTCCCTCTCTAAGGTATTGAAATCCCGAACATTCTCAAACTAAGGATGTACAATGATATGATAAAGCCAGTTCTAATATGAAGTATCTATTTTATGTTATTTACTTACTTTTTTTTTTCTTTTATTTACTTTATTCATCAGTATTATTTATTTACTTTTTATATTTATATTTATTTCTCTATTATGTGCATATATTGTATGAATGAGAACTCTTAGCCCTAATACTTATAGCCCTCCAGCGGTGGCTGATTGTATTATTATTCAATAAATAGATTAAAAAAAAAAAAGTTCTAATCTATGACTATGAGATCTGGAAACTAATCAGCACCCTAGAAGAAAGATTTGAGAGGAAAATCCTACTCCATAACCGGAGCAATCTTGGTTCAGAGTACTAACACATCGAGAAGAAAGACCAATAAAGAACTGATTATATAAACTGGTCAAATAATATCCCAAGAAGTGAAGGCACGAAGGTTAAATTGGACGGGGCATATAGCCTCAATAAAAGGGATAAGAGCACGTGGAAGGACAAAAAGCAGATTGATAGATAGAATCAACAAAGATGGAATAGAGTTAAGAGCAGATAAATAGCCCGAGACAGGCAGAGATTGAGGAGACTTTAACTTCTCACTCTTCCTTAAATTACTCAAACTACTTTACTCATGTTTTTCAAATTCATCAAAACAGGATTTGAGACAAAAACTGAATGGATACACAAACTTATTGATAGTTAATAAAAAATAAAAAACCTGTACCACTACAACCCATGAAGAGTCTTGGGTTCAGTTCTATTTAGGCAAAGCACTCAGACAGTTGTGCAAGGAGGTGATTTGATTGAAATCACTCTCAACCCCTTAATTAATTATGAGTACCGGTTAGAGGCTGGATTGCCCTAGTAGAGGTCTCCTGATCTCAGGGTCACCCCAGGGCTTATGAAACAGAATAAATACTTTTTTTGCTATGAGCCGGGATTCGAACCAGGGTCTTTGAGCATTAGAAGAACAGTGACCTGCCACTGAGCTGCCCCACTCCCACAAATAATTTTTAAATATATTCAAATATCAATTAAAAGTATCAATATTTCGAAGGTCCAAATATTTAATTTTGAACGAAGGGAAATATTGTTGAAACGGGATGAAATCTTAAATTTATAATAGCTTTGATGGTAACCATTCAGTAATTACACGAAAAACAGGTAAACATTATTAACATTTTTCAGTATAAGAACTTACTAACAATTAGACAAAAAATATCAATCAAAATGTTGTTAAAAGGAAATCTATTTAGAATGAATAATATAAAACCTACAAAAGCATTTACATGAATAGTTAAAAGTATTTATTACTAGAATTTAAGAAAAAAAAAAGAGGCATTTTAAACAGACTGATAAGAGCTGTTGTTGTCATGAATAATATAAGACTAATAAAGAGCTGGATGAAATACCTCTCTAAACAAACCAAAGTAATTGAATGAAGCCTAGGGAAAGAGAACTAGCTGGCTAATATCCATCTCCATAGACTGATATTGTCATTATTGACCATTTGATAATTTAAAAATAAAATAAATTTAATATGGTAAGCGAATTTCTCAAACTAACATGGTACTATACCTTGGACTCAACTTCGACAAAAGGATGACCTGTGGCCCACTTATAAAAATGAAACGGGAAACTCTAAACAAACGACTCAAACTACATTACCAACTTTTTAAAAATCTTCAAAACTTAAACTGAGACCCATATGGACATGCTCATTAAAAACATATTGTATCTTCAAAAAGATCCTACTACAAAAACTTCAAACCTGCCAATCAAAATTATTACGACTTATAACAAAAGAACTTTAGTTCATAGCTAGCAAAACTCTACATACTAACCTCCACCTGCCAACAGTTGACCAACATATAACGATCATTTACCAACGATATTACATAAATTTAAACAAGTTAATAAGAGACACCCCAGAACATGAGGGGAGGCAAAAAAGGTGCTGGATGAGAGATGTCCTTCCTTGCAGAGGCTAACTAATTGAATCAAACCAGGAAGAGGTACTGCTGGGTATTGTCCCTCTTCTTGCCTGATATTATTCCCATTATTGTCAGCTCATTATCAACATATAGTTGCATATAACTATTTTAAAAACAAAACGTCGAACATTAATCTTTAAAAGGTTTGTTTTCAAAAAAAGTTCAGAAAAGATCAGTATTCATAGGTGATTCTCACCTTAACCTTTATCACTATTATCGCATATAGGCTCTTGGGCACGTTCTTTATGAGGCTGGATATATTCTCTTGATCGATGTCACACCGCTCTTTTGTTAGTTTTGTCGGCTTCTGATAGGCCTCTCTATCTTG